CCCCGTCATCCCCTTGCCCCTGTCGTATGCGCAAGGGCTACACCGCCACATCCAGCTGAGATCATTACCCAACACATGCACAGGAAAGGCTGCCATAAATCAGCCGCATTTCCTCATCAGCAAGAGGGCATGGCGTTCCTGGGGGGCACTGGGCAGAGCGCTCTGGTTGGCTGGAGGGAGGTGGGGGGGCTCTCTGAGACCTCCACGGCTGGGGCAGAGAAGGGACAGTGACTTCTCTGGGAGGAGAGAGTTTATTTCTGGTGAAAGGTTGAGCTGCCACTTGCCAAGGAGCAGAAATAACTTCAGAGGGCTTGGGCCAGGCTGGGATTGTTCCCTCAGACCCCACCAAGTCGCTGGGTGACGTGCCCTGGCTCTAGGCTATTACATTTGGCCACTCAGTAATGACCTTGCCAGTCATGCTAGAGTGCGGATAAGAGGGGAGACGTGAAGGCCTGAAATACCTTTTGAAGCAGAAATGCGGTGACTCTGGCTGCCCCCACGCCCATGCAGTGCCTGCACTTCAGGGCACACTGCACTGCTCTCCCCTCCCCGTCCCCTCTTCCAGAAATCCCACCTCTTCCCTGTAGAGTCTCCCCGTACAACATGACCCTCTTATGGGGCCTGACTAGACCTCTGATTCTGGTGATAAAATAATTACATGAAGGCATTGAGGATCAACTAGGACTGAATGGATTACCCTTCTTAGGATTCTTGCATTTTAAAAGTAACTTTGTAGGGCCGGCCCGTGGCTCACTCGGGAGAGTGTGGTGCTGATAGCGCTAAGGCCCCGGGTTCGGATCCCATATAGGGATGGCCGGTTCGCTCACTGGGTGAGCGTGGTGCTGACAACACCAAGTCAAGGGTTAAGATCCCCTTACCGGTCATCTTTTAAAAAATAAAAAAAATAAAAGTAACTTTGTAGAAGCAAACACTCATCTAGAGTGGGCCACCATGGTGGAGCCTTATTTCCAACGTCTGAGTGTTGCTGCTGACAATGGTGGGCGCTGGTCCCTTAAGCCCCTGCTTGGTGAACCTCAGGCCAACCCAACATCCCTGGAATGGAAAGTAGAGGTGGGGATGTTTTGTAAAGAGTGAGAGAGATGAATTGGAGCAAGATCCTGGCATTCAAACACATGTGTTGAAGATCTGCTGTGGGCCAGACGCTGGACGTCTGTTGGGGCCAAATTCAGCAGAAGGCCAAGAAAGGCAGGAAGGACCCCAGGACGGCCCACTGGATTTGGCTCTAGGAGTTAGTGGTGACCTTGGGGAGAATAGTTTCCAGGGAGGATGAGACTAGGAGGAGGAGGAGACAGGAAGATGAAGGTCAGAAAATGGCTTTCTGGGTATGTAAGAATTGCAAAGGATATTTCTTAAACAACTAGTTCCCGTCCCAACTTGCTGGCTGTGAGAAAACTGCATCTTTAAGTCCCCCACAGGTGGACCTCCAGACTGTGGTGGGGTACTACTTTAGAAGAGTCTAGCTTCTTGGCTCTGCCTAGAAAAAGGCACAGCAGAGGATTCTTTTCCTGTGGTTTTCCTCCAGCCCCTTCCCACCCCTCAAGGCAGCCAAGTAATGTGGACCCCTGTGCTCTGCCCCCCCAATAATCATGCTGGCTTCCAAGAGCCCAGCTGGTCTTGCCCAAAGACCATGCCACTTTGTTTTCTAAGGGGAGCTCCAGGAGTTCAGGTCCCATTGGGGTCTCCCAACCCCATCTCCTGCTATCGTTGAACACAGGCAGTGGACTGGGGCACAGCACATGAAGAGAAAGGGCGTCTTAGGAAGCCATACACTCAGGGAGGCCTGTTCCTAGTGGGTGGAGCCAGAAGGCTAGAAAAATAATAAATAAAAATAAAGTGAAGGGAAGCAAAGCTCTTGGGTGCCAGAACAGGGCTGGCCGAGGCTCCGGCTGCCTGAATAATGGGTTCCACATTTGTCTGGCTCTGTCTGTAGCCACCAGGATCCAGGCTGCACAGTGGCCTTTGCAAAGGCCAGAGGTGATGGCCCAGCTAAGGCCAGATCTAGCATACCCTTGTGATGGCCCCAGCCCTGGCTGGCCACATGGCTGAAATGTTGCTACAAGCTCTCGTTCCAGCACCCAGACCACCCCCCCCCCCAGCCCCACCACCGCCTGAGGCTCCTGGGTTCCTGCCGGCCTGCACAGATTGTTTGTGTTATTAATGCCGTTTTCCCAGAGATTCCATCTGGCTTTTTAATTGCTCTGGGATGGGGCTAGGATGCTTTGATAGTGAATCGGTATCTTTCCTATGTCTCAGCTTACGTCAAATGCTCCGTCCGCAGAGAGGGGTATGGGGGAGGGGTAGGTTTGGGGATGTTGAGAGAGAAGGGATAGCCAGAGTCTTCCACAGAATCAAGAAAGATCTTTCAAAGGTGCTGGTGGTTTCGTTTTATTTAAAGAAGAGAACAGGAGAAGCCAGTCTTCCCCTCCCTACCAGCACAAGGAAGAAACAGCTTGGACTATCAATACCATCCAGGCAAGGATTCTGCCCCATGTCTACAGAAGGCCTGTGGATGCCCTGGAAGGAGAGGCCTCTTGGCTAAGTGAAGTCAGGGTTTCTGCTTTCCCTTGACCTTCACCATGATTGGCCTCCCCATTCCTCTCCTTGCTGCCCCCTCCCCTCCTGTGAAATCAGCAGCTCCTGGAGGAGACCTGGCAGGTTCCTGCCTGGGAAAGAGGGGGCGGGATTTCTGGGAGGGGCAGACACTCCTCATCAGTCCCAGTGGCTCATCGCAGGTGTCAGAGCCAAACCCCATGTTCACAGATTCCCAGGAGATCCAGGAGATAAGGGTGACATCCGTGACAGCACTAAACCATCAGGTCGCATCTGGTGGCAGAGGAACCACCTCCCTCCTCCCTCTGCCCTTGCTCCTTCCTTGATGACTAGCTCCCCTAAACAGTGCTGTCAGGGGACTCAGGGCTCAGGAGTGGCCCAGTGATGGGGGTGAGGTCCCTGTGGTCAGACACTACCTGTTGTGGAGAGAGCAGTGTAAGGTGGAAGCATCCAGGCATCTTGGGACTGGGTCCAGGTGGGGCTGCCCTTGGCAGGTGTTGGGTCAAAGCTGCTGCCTCCAGGAAGCCTGCCTGGTGGACCCTGTTCACACACTGAGCTCTCCCTTGTTGCACTTGTCACCCTTAAACACAGCTTGGAGCAGAGGCTGTGAGTTCCCTGAGAGCAGGAGCAGGGTCTGCTTGCTCCCAGCTGAGCGCCCCATCCTTGGCACAGGCCCTGGCATACAGTAGGCATCCAATAAATACTTGGGGTATGTTCAGTGCCGGACTCTTGGAGTGGTTCCTCATGAAGGCTGCAGTCAGGAGGGGAACCGTGGGGAGCTCTGCAGGAAGCAATGGGCTCTCCCTGGGGGGCTCCATCTACTTTGGGCCACAATGGGGTCCTCACCTTCCCCATACCCTTCCTGGGGCTGAATGTGATTAGATGTGTCTTGACTCCAACAAAACCCACCCTGGACCTCAGCATCTGCAGTAGGAAGGGTGCCCTTCCATGACCCAACAGCTTTGAAAGAGGAAGCCCCCAGAGGGGTGGCACTGCGGGAGGGGTGAGGGCAGGAGGGTCGCCCCTCCCCCACTCATCCTGGGACCTGTTCTGGGGGCAAAGGGGGAAGCCAAGGATCAGCCCCCTCAAACAAGAAAAACTGGAATTAGCACTGAACTCAGAGAGGGTTTGCTGGGACCTAGCAAGCTGTGGCCTGCCCCAGGCCTCTAGGCAGGCGGTGGGGATCTGCCTCCTTGGTTCCCAGGGTGGCGGGCAGGCTCCCGCCTCCTCACCGGGCTCGTGGCCTTTCCTCTGCCAAGGGCGGCCATGGGTGAGGAGGCGGCAAGGCACAGGGCAGAGGGGGCGGGGGTGGGGGTTGGGAAGTGGGGGGGGGCAGTTAACTATGCAGGCAAGGAAAACTAAATCTTTCAGAATTTAAAAAGAATGTGTAATTTCTCAAAAATACTCCAGTCCACACTGACATATACTGTAAGCTGCTCGGCAAACACTCTTGTGTGTGGTGAAAAGAGGTAAAAAGTATTTTACCTTTCACCCTCCAAGACGGTAAAGTCTGAAAGCACCGTCAGCCTCCTGGGCTGCTTCCTCGTGGGCATGGTTAATTCGAGGATGAGGGCCCACCCCACCTTGGTTGGCTGTCACTGCTGATAAGGGAGTGCTGGGTGCATCATTTTAGTGGGGGCCTCATCACGACTCAGCCTCCTGCTGTGTCCAGAATGAACACAGAGGGGAGGGTGGGTGCTAGGTGTGTGGGTCAGGACCAGACCCCTGCTGCTGGCCTGCTGTGGCCTCCCTTCCCAGGTGGGCTGGGGCAGGACAGGTGTGGAGGACTGGGTGGAGAGGGGCTCGACCTTCAGGCTGCCCTTCTAGGCACTGCTGGGTTAGGTTGTAGCCACATGGCCCGGGGAAAGTGGGAGAAAGTGGGGGAAAGTGGGGGAAAGTAGGGAGGGGTGGAGGGTCCTGCCACTGGAGGCCTCTTCCTGCCCGCCAAGGTCCTGCTGGAGGGCTGGGGCAGAAGCGGCGTGAGCTAGGCTGCTCCAGAGCTGGAGTGGGAGTGACTTAGATGTTGAGTGTGCCAAAGGGCCCCTTCAGCCTGGAGCAACTGAGCCAGGCCTCTCCCTCAAGAGAGGGCTCCCTCTCTTCCCTCTTCTTGTCCCAGGGCCAGATGAGTGGCCATGCTCAGACCTCTGCCCCGACCCCCTCCTGATCCCTTCCCCATTCTCCACTCCAGGAGCTCTCTCTCCAGGCTCTGGGCATTCTCAGCTTGGAGACTTTTCCTCCTTCTGCTATTTATTTGTCTTGGTTGGGGGAAGTAAGTCACCCCTTAAAGTAAAGAGGGGCTCAAGACGGATGGAGAGTTAATGAAAATCAGGGTCTCAGTCAGAGAAAAGGCTGTGATTATTTACAAATGTGACCTGACCCACAGAAAACCTTGGAAGTAGCTTCTTTCAGGTTTTAAAAAGACAACAAAATTTACTTCGATATGTTTATATTATAGATATAATACATAAAACATCTAGCATGAAACTCTATGTTCTCCCCAAAAGAGGAGAACCAAGCTGTTCTTCCCTGCTCCCAGCCCCAGGGGTGTTGGCTGGAGGCCGCCTCCCTTCCAGACCCGGAGCCGGGGCCTCCGGGGGGACAGGCTTGTGGGCAGCCCAGGCCCACGGGAGCCGAGGCCCACAACCGCCCTGGGAAAGCTGGGGGGAAAGGGGAGCCCACCTCACCTCATTGGTCCCCCGGGAGCAAAAGCAATCCCAAAACCAAAAGGAAAGACAGCCTCGGACCCTTCCCCCAGCTACTGACGAAGAGTCTCATTTTGGCAAGTATCTGAGCAAAACCAAAACAAAACAAAAACCCAATAAAATGGTGGTTTAGCATAGACATGCACACTCGTATTGCACAAGGCACCGCTGGGACACACAGAGGCCAGATACAAGTGTTGATATCGGCTGATAAAGCAAAATATTTGGAAAGCTTGTCATAACTCCGGTCCCTCTGGGATGGAATGATTGTGCTTCATGTTCATATGGCAATGCTGGAGACATACGGTACAGACAAGGCTGATGGTCCCGGCGTCCCTTCACCCCCCACCCAAGACAAGATCTCTAGGTTCCCCTCTTCCACCAGGCCACCACTCCCTTGAACATATGTCCTTATAGCTAAGCCACAACCTAGCTTTCTGGTCTGACTGGGGGTGGGGGCTCCCATTGGTGACCTGGTGGCCCCCATCTCAGTGAGTTCTGCCTGGGGAAGCTCAGCCTGTTGCAGGCTGGGGGAGGAGGGGTGGTAGGAGAGGAAAGGAACTAGGGCCCCTCCACCTTCATGCAGAGCTAGGGGAACAACCTTAGGTCAAAGCCCCTAGTCCCTGTTTCCTCCTCTCTCAGGACAGGCACTGAGGAGCGACTGGGGCTTGTCGGGATCTCAGCTCCCCGAACCTTCCTCCTGCCTTGGGCCTGCACCCTTTCTTTATGGGGGCCTGCTGCAGCCTCGAGAAGGAGGCAGGAATCCTCAAAATAAAATGACAAGGCACGTATTTGCTCCCCCTACTCGGTAGGAAGCAGAGCGGTGAGTTTGCATTTCCAAGGCACAAGGTTATTCCTTAATACTAGAGTTGCTGGGTTCCCAGCTCAGCCCTGTGGAGAATTCTCCCCTCTCACAGGGAGAAACCACTGCCTGACCCCGTCATCTTAACGCACCGAGTCCGGCGCAGAGGAAAGGAAGAAACACGCGGAGCAGGCCGGGCTTTCAGGCGGCACCGGAATCTCCTAGTCCTGGCTTGCAGGGCTCGGGCAGCCTTGAGATCCGGCGACCCGAAACCATTCCCCGGGTCCCCGCCAGAGGCTGGCCCAGGGCGGTCCTGCAGCCGTGCGCCTCACGCGCAGTTGCCCATGGCCTTGACCAAGGAGCTCTCTGGCAGCTGGCGGAAAATACCCCGCAGCGTGTCCAGTTCGCGGCTCAGTTGTTCCACCCGCTTGCGCAGGCGGTCATTGTCACTGGTCAGCTCCAGCACCTTCTGTTGCGTCTCCACGTTGCGCTGCTTGGCCTTGTCGCGGCTCTTGCGCACCGCGATGTTGTTGCGCTCGCGCCGCACCCTGTACTCATTGCTGTTCTTGTCCACCGACTTCTTGGCCTTGCCGCCGCCACCGCCGCCGCCGCCCGCGCGGAGGTCGGGG